GTTTACCCTGGGGAGCCCCGATTCTGTTTGTGAAGAAGAAGGACGGGTCGCATCGGATGTGTATAGATTATAAGGAGCTGAACAAGGTGACGGTGAAGAACCGTTACCCACTCCCGAGGATTGATGACCTCTTTGACCAGCTACAGGGAGCATCTTGGTTCTCCAAGATTGATCTGCGATCAGGATAGCATCAGATGAGGGTCAGAGAGGAGGATGTACAGAAGACTGCGTTCCGGACGCGCTATGGCCACTGTGAGTTCGTGGTGATGCCTTTCGGGCTCACCAATGCTCCTGCCGCGTTCATGGACCTCATGAACCGCGTGTGTAGACCGATGCTGGATCGGTCCGTGATAGTTTTCATTGACGACATCTTGGTCTATTCGAAGTCGCAGGAGCAGCATGAGGAGCATCTGCGAGAGGTTTTGGATACTCTGAGGAGAGAGAGCTTGTACGCTAAGTTCTCCAAGTGTGAGTTCTGGTCGCGCGAGGTGCAGTTTCTTGGGCACCTTGTCAACCGGAACGGTATTCTGGTCGACCCGGCCAAGGTGGAGGTCGTGATGAGATGGGAGGTTCCGAAGTCTCCATCTGAGATTCAGAGTTTCCTGGGATGAGCCGGCTACTATCGGAGATTCATCTAGGATTTCTCCAAGATAGCAGTACCCTTGACGCGGCTGACGAAGAAGGTCATAGTCTTTCGTTGGGGGCCTGAGCAGCAGGCAGCGTTTGAGACACTGAGGCAGAGGTTGTGCGAGACCGATCTTAGCCTTGCCAGAGGGCGTAGAGGAATTTGTTGTGTACTGCGACGCGTCTATTTCAGGTTTGGGCGCGGTATTGATGCAGAGAGGGCATGTCATCGCCTACGCTTCGAGGCAGCTGAAGCCTCACGAGGCAACTACTACCCGACGCATGATTTGGAGCTGGGGGGCTGTTGTATTTCACCCTCAAGATTTGGTGTCATTACCTCTATGGGGTCCGTTGTACCATTTACGGACCATAAGAGCATGAGGTATCTCATGGACCAGCCAATCTAAATACGATGAGGCAGCGTCGGTGGCTTGATGTGGTAAAGGATTATGATTGTGAGATCCTCTACCACCCGGGAAGGCCAACGTTGGGCCGACGCGCTTGCCGCGCGCGCTCGCCGCGGCGCGATCATGGGATACTGCATGAGGATGACCGTGGTGCTCCACTGTTGTGAGCATATTCGAGAGGCCCACAGGAGGCCATGAAGGAGGAACATCGGAATTGAAGGATTTAGGTCAGAGTTTCCTCCTTAGATTCCGAGGTGTTGCCCGCGCTGGATGATCGCGGGGGTGTGGACCCTCCACGCGTGTGGGTCGTACCATGGGGGTGTGCGCCAGGTTCTGATGGAGGAGGCGCACAAATCTTGATTCTCCATTCATCCCGGGGCGACGAAGATGTATAGGGATCTTCGTCTGGACTATTGGTGGCCCTGCATGAAGCGGGATGTGGCATGGTACGTGGAGCGGTGCTTGACCTGCAGGAAGGTCAAGGCCGAGCATCAGAGACCACACGGCAAGATGCAGCCGTTGGATATCCCGCTGTGGAAGTGGGAAGACATCACGATGTATTTTATCACAAAGCTTCTCAGGACCGCGCGGGGAGTGGATTCGATTTGGGTTATCGTCGATCGATTGACCAAGAGCGCCCATTTTATTCCAATTCAGGAGAGCATCTCGGCCGAGAAGTTGGCCGACATCTACATCAGGGAGGTGGTGGCGCGGCACAGGGTGGCCAGTTTCGGTGATTCAGACAGGGATGTGCGGTTCACTTCCAGGTTTTGGAAGAAGTTTCATGACGAGTTGGGTACTCGTCTGCACTTTAGCACTGCGTTTCACCCGCAGACGGATGGACAGAGTGAGCGGACCATCCAGACTTTGGAGGATATGCTGCGGGCATGTGTGCTAGACTTCGGTGGTAGCTGGGATACTTACCTCCCATTGGTTGAGTTCTCATATAACAACAGCTATCACGCGAGTATCGATCGTCCTCCCTTCGAGATGTTGTACGGGAGGAAGTGCAGGACCCCGATATGTTGGGGTGAGGTTGGCCAGAGGGTCCTGGGGAGCACCGAAGTGGTGCTCAAGACGACGGAGAGGATTCAGCAGGTCCGGAGCAGGCTTCAGACTGCTCAGAGTCGGCAGAAAAGTTATGCCGACAAGCGCCGATCAGACCTGGAGTTTTAGGTCGGGGATAGGGTCCTTCTGACGGTGTCGCCATGGAAGGGCGTCATCCGATTCAGGAAGCGGGGCAAGTTGGGCCCCAGATATATCGGACCCTTCAGGGTTTCAGCCCGGGTGGGCAAGGTGGCGTACAGGTTGGATCTGCCAGCCAAACTCAGCCAGATCCACAGCACTTTCCACGTCTCCCAGCTGCGGAAGTGCCTGGTGGACGACTCAGCAGTGGTACCCTTAGAGGATATTCAGGTCGATGACAGCCTGAACTACATCGAGCGACCTGCAGCAATCCTCGAACGGAAGTCGAAGGATCTGAGAAACAAGAGGGTGGAGCTCGTGAAGGTGCAATGGCAGCACCGGAAGGGCTCGGAATGGACTTGGGAGCCGGTGGATGAAATGATGGAGCATTATCCGGAGCTTTTTCAGGAGCGAGCAGCAGACTTCGAGGACGAAGTCTGAAATAAGTGAGGGAGATTTGTAGTACCTGGTTCCTGGTATGTATTTCATTTATGTAATTTTACATTTTTGGCCTTGGACTCGGCGAGTTGATGGCCCAACTCGCCGAGTAGAAGCGAGCGGGTAGAGCGAGGGGGGTTTAGTATGGGACTCCTCGAGTCGTATCCTGGACTCGACGAGTAGGCTCTGTCTGGACAAAAACCCTAATCTGAGGGTTTGCACCCTATTTAATCATCTCATTCAGCCCCCACTCGTCCCTATTGCTCCCAGAACCCCTCCCTAGCAAACCCTAAGTGTTTTGGTGCAAGATTCAAGACTTTTGAGTGATTTTGGTGGATTTTGATCACAAGGAAGAAGGAAGAGCATAGAAGGATCAAGAGGAGACTGAAGGATTCGAGTTTGGTGCATCATTTGCTGTTCTCAGAAGGTATAAAGTCTATACCTTGCTTGTTCTTTTGTTAGATCCCTTTTTGGGGAGATTTAGGGCTTTTATAAGTCATTCTTGATAGCCAACCATGATTGCAAGCATGGTTGGGGGTTGAGGCTTCGGATCTAGGTCCATGGAAGGGTCACAAGGCAGTTGGGGGTTGCTTTTGCACCCATGGAAGGTCCCATGCATCTTAAGAGCTTCTTTTTGGGCATTTTAGGCTCAAAGTCCCATGCATGCACGTAAAGTTTGTAACTTTACGCGCTAGATTGAGTTTAGGGACCTAGATCTATCATTTGGACAAGAGTTGCACTCCAGAAATCGAAGAAATAAGACTTGGACTACATCGACTCGGCGAGTCGTTCTTGGGACTCGGCGAGTCCAAGGTTAGACTCCCTTTTTTCTGTTATGGTTCATGGGAACCAGTTGAGTGAAAGAAAGGTTTTAGAGGGTCCAAGGGAGTGACCCAAACGTATTGGGATAAGCCATAGTCCTGGAGTTCATAGGACTCGACGAGTGCACGAGCAGACTCGGCGAGTCCAAGGCAATCTCCCAACTCTTGAAGATGAACTCGACGAGTTGTTCATACAACTCGGCGAGTCGAGGACAGGACGTGTTCTTAGGATGAAGATGGACTCGACGAGTGTTCATACCGCTCGGCGAGTCGGAAGAAGGTTCATCCGAGGTTGTGTTAGAAGGAGAACTCGTCGAGTCGTTGCTAAACTCGACGAGTAGGGACGTGGATGAGGACAGTTAAAGAAATAGGGACTCGACGAGTTGACGACCCAACTCGGCGAGTCGAGTCAACTGGAAGTTAAAGAAATAGGTACCTCTTCAGCGAAGGGGAAAGAGCTGGCGCGGTAGCGGCACATCATACACACTCGCATTGATTTCCGCACTTGAGATATTCTGAGATTGTACTCTGACATGTTGCTATTATATGTTTTGGGTTTTCAGACATGATACATTGATTCACAAAATGATATATTGTTACGCAGTTTTCTTATGAATGTTTTATAATCCGTTAATTAAAATGAAATTTTTGGACTCGAAATTTGGGATGTTACAAGCAGTTTGTTTTTTGTAAGGCTTCAGACTACAAAACCTCTGCGCGTGTGTTGCGTGGCGCAACATTTGACTTGCCTCTTCTAACCTCTCCAGCTTTCATTTTTTCCAAGTGTTTTTTTAAGAATTTTTGTATAAATTTTTTTTTTATTTTTTTTTTTAAACTTTGATTTTCTTAAATTTTTATTTACGGATGTGATACAATTTATTTTTATAGTTTCCACGATTTTTTTTTAACTTGATTTTTTTAATTTTTTTTTACCGTTTTATTAATAATATTTTCAATTTCAGTTGCATCTTTTTTAACGTGTGTAATTTTTTACGAACTTTGTAGACATCGTTTGCAATACTTTCTTAATTTTTTTATTATTTTTTTTTAATGTTTTTTAAAATTAATTTTTTTTCTAGAATAAAACTATTAGCTTCTTTTACATTTTTTTAAGTTTTTTTTTTAAAAAAAAAAGTTTATATTTTTGTTTTTTTACATGTTCTTTTTATTATTATTTCAATGTTTTAAGACTAGAATTATTAAATTTCGGTGTTGAGAACTATTTTCAGTTTATAAAATTAGTTTATTTAAATTTCAGTTTACTGAAGCAATCTGCAGATGTTAAAAAACAAACATGCTTCTTATTATAGGCTGCAGCTGTTTGTTCCACCTCTTCTGCTACAAAGGATTACAGAGGTGGTCTGCAGACTTTATGAATTTTCGCTTCGAAAAAACAAACGTGTAAATGAGAATGAGAGGTGTTATATAAGTCTCATTTGAATGAGTGCGTTAGGGATACAACTTCATGCCCCTACTACCCTACATTTGAAATTTTTCGAGTATTCATGCTATGGAGACCTTTCGCTTCTAGTAGTAGCACGTGTCTAGAATAAATAAAATGATAATAATAGGTTATCGTCTCTACAAACAACAATGCCTTTAGTTTTCCCTCAACTACAAACACCAAATAAAATCTATACAGGAATCGGCAACTTCATAAACAATATTACAAGTAATCAAAGGTCACACTCTTCCATATTCTACATCAACTTGCACCGAATCAGACAGCGACACCTGTCTGAACCCATTGCTACTATTTCGCCTCGAATGTTGGTTCAAATTTGCAATCTCCACATTTTGCATTCCAACCCCATCCACAGGAGCATCTCCTCTTGTACCTGAATTCGTCTCTTCCAAAGCTCGGAAATAAGCATATGGGCCCCACCCTAAAAACAATAACATGGTCATTTAGTCTGGAAATCATTTATCCATTTAAAATACATGCTTATACTGTAAAATTTAGAAATTACCTTCGGAGTGATATGGAGCTGGAAAAAACTGAAGATAGCACATTGTGGCAACGAATAGACCTGAAAAAAGAAAATTAGGGTTTGAAGTCGAGTTAAATACTTAAATACAAATTTGAATGATTTTTTTTACCTAAAATACCACCAGCAAACACATCTTGCCAATGGTGCCAATAGTCATCCACCCGAGAAACTGCTACAAGAGATGCCATTAAAAGAGGAAGAAAAAGAATGCATAGTTTTGCCACGTGACCACTTCGGTCAAATACTTTAATTTTTGCGGTCAAGTACAATGCTAAAAACCCCAACCCTGCAAACGACCCTGTAAAATAAAAAAACCTGTAAGATCATACTGCGTACTGTATACTGTGTACTGAGAAATAACATTGACATGTATTACATGAAGCATGGCCACTAGGGAAACTCTTATGGCCTTCTTTTATATCCTTCTCTTTACCATGACATATAACATCACCCCATGTATCATAGTTCTGAAACATATAACAAGAAAACAAGAAAAAAAAAACACAGATTAATTTTCCAAGATATAAAAAAAATGAATTATTACAATTACATACATCGACTCCATCTGGAAAGCATCGCCAAAAGAAATCAGGTCGTGGCCTTCCAACAGCATCTTTAATAGCATCTGTGATAACTCCCGTTATAAGCACCGCGAATAAAAGTCCTACAAATAACATCAAAAGAATTCACTTTACATTCAAGCATTCAACAATGAGAAGAATGTGTAAAAGTTTTACAAAAAAAGGAAAGAATTAAAAATTATTTACCTAGAATTGCATGATGAAGATCATGTACATCTCTTCTTCTAAAATAAAAGAAGGTAAAAACAAGGATAGGCAGCAATACCGAGTAAATCTGTCAAAAAAGAAATATGACGTAGATGTAAATCAGGTACACAGTGACATCATGTAAAATGTACATCAGGTATACAGTGACATCATGTAAGATGTACATCAGGTACATAATGACATCATGTAAGATGTAAACCAGGTACAGAGTGACCTAGGTGGAAATAAACTCTGACACTGCAGCTGCTGAGACTCAAACAACTTTTGGAAAAAATATAAAACCGAAAGGATGGAAGAATGACTCACGGGAACGGCCCAAACGGGAACGGTGTTTTCTTTCATTGGATATTTAAGATCTGTCATCATATCTTTGCCAACAAAACGATAAAACGGGTGTATGATATTTAGGACAATTTCTATGACAGCAAGTAGAACAAGTATAAGCCAATCATGCATGTGACTTCTTGCCAATTTAGTTCCATGAGACTTAATGTAGAAGGCTCCAAGGTCAACTTCCCTTACTCTTCCTTCCTGCCTCTGTTACAATGAAAAGAGAACAACTTTCTTCATTAAGTCAAATATATAGTTTACTTGATGAAGTCTTGTCCCCATTAAGTCTAATCCCGTTTAAACATTTTATAAAATAAAGAAACTTAACAATACGCAAATTCTAGCATATTGTTTTAAATCAATCTATGAATTCTTCCCTTTTATCAATTAAAAAGTCTTATATATTAAGAAGATTGTCATCTTTTTAATTCTCCGAAAACAAAGTCATTCATGTTTCTTCCCTTATAATTCAAAAAACAAAAATAGTGAAAACTGAAAGGAAACTAGTTGTCTTAATATGGAAATTAAGTAATTAATTGGATTTGGATCATATTCAACTTACATACAAATTAATGAATTACAAATTTACAATTAATCCTCGTGGTTTTCCAAAAATGCTTCGAAAAAATATGTATATTTTAATATATCTAAAAAGGGAAAAAGAAAAAAGGCATAACAATTGGGGAAAAAGATGCAACTTTACTGACCTGAAACATATTTCTCAAAAAGGGTAGATTCCAAGGCATAACAGTGTTCTTCAACTCCTGAAAAAAAAAAAAGCAGACAAAAAGAGAAAAGTTACCCAACTTGCTTTCAAATTCAGAAATTAACAAGTTAAAGAACACAATCAACTAAACAACATGAAGATTAATCGCTTTGTTACTAACGATTGGAGAAAAGATAGAGCAAATCCGATGAATCTCGCAAAGAGAAAAGGTAATACTACACAGAATTAAAACAGAGAGTAATTGTTGTCGTACCTGAAAAAGATATTTTCTAAGTCAAAATCAATCGGAAAAACTATCCAATAAAGTTTGGCCGAATGTCAATCGAAAATGAAAACTCTGATTGAATGTACGATTGATTAATGAAGAAAATCAACAGTTAATATATGAATGTGTGTTCGTGGTGAGTTGGCAGAATGACTTGTTCGTCGGAAGGCGGTTAACGGGGGAGGCTAGATCGTCGCGTAGATTATTTATGAAGGGGTCGGTCAACAATGTAACTGGTGTTTTCATTTGAAATTTCGAATGCCTATATTTCACCTTTCTAGGAATATACAATTTTGTAAAATGGGTAAAATGGACCCTGAAGAACATATGTCTTGTCAGGTTTGGTACTCGATGTTTTGAAACTCATATTTTCCGTTAAGTGACTTTCTTTTTGTTTCGGTAGTCGTCATGCTTGAATGGAAAAGTACATGTTGCCGGAGTTAGGGGGTTAGCTTTATGTTTTAGTTCTCATATGGTAAATAGCATTTTTATAAGTTAATTTGTGGTAACATATGCGATCAAATGAGGTTTCTAAATACTTTTGTATATATAAGAATGTTTGTTGGAATGTATCGATTCAATTCAATTAGATCAAATGAATTTAGATTGATTTTATTTTTTTTAATATAGAACTGATTAGCAATATGTAAATTAAAATCCAATCAAAACAAACCAATTATAAATTTGATTGAATCCGTTTTAAGATTCAATGCATACCAATAGATATACATGTTTAACATTAAAGCCGGACGGAGTGTCGCGGGAAGGGGGTGCGAGAAGCGTTCCCGCACATTGGAACACCACACCGTCCCTGCGGGAAAGGAGGTGCGAGAAGGGAGTGGGGGACAGAGACCCCGCATTCTCTCTCCTGTTTTGATTGGTTGAGGTTTTTTTTTGTTTTTTTTTCAAGTTTTTTAATATTTATTAAATTATATACCTACTAAAAAATTATGAAAAAATATATCAAAATTTTTGTTTTTAATTTCCTATAAAATGAGTATAATATTTGTATGAAATATATTGTTTTTAAAAAATAAAAATAAAAAATAGTAAAAGATCCTTCACATACACACCATAGGTTTTTGTGAGGTAAAGAAAAGTAAAGGAAAGATTGACGTGACAGGCAAAAAGTGGGGAATTCTTTCCCCACACACACCCTCTGGTCTAATAAGTTTGATTGTAAAGTTTAAATCGTTCAATTTTTGTAAGTGTATAAAGGGTTTAAGGCTTTCTGTTTTGTCTATGTCGTCTAATATAATTAAAAAAACAAGTTGTATAAATTAATAGTAAGGGGTGTTTGGCTTATGAAAAAGTTGCAAAAAGTCAAGTTTTATGACTTTTCCAAAAAGTCAGTTTTTCTTATATCCAAAATCCAAAAGTAGCTTTTAAAATGATTTTACCAAACATCTTTTACCTTTTATCTTTTTTTCTTAAAATGACTTTTGACCTCTCAAAAGATAAGGCAAACACCCCCTAAATGGTTAAAGGTACTTATCAAAGAACAAAAAAAGCTATACCAAAATAAATAGAAATCGTTATTTGGGTTTTGGATTATTTGGTTTCATTTTAGTAACAAAAATCAATCAACTCAAAATAATAATTCGGGCTTGGTGAAAATCAAATCTAATATTCAAACCATATATTTGTTGGCTGTTTTTCTATTAAAAAAAAGTCTAATACAATTTATTCACTTGATAACTCAATTTTTTATCCAAATATGTAAAATTTTATAGGAAACCACTTTAACAAGTTTTCATGTAACATAAAGCTCCAACAACATATCTCTTCATTAATTTATATTTGTACAATGTTTAGAGACACATGAAAACCATGAGTTTATAGGATAGACAATGAGCTTTTTTGAGGGGTGTTTGGCAAAACTTAAAAAATGAGCTTTTTGACTTATTACCGGTTTGATACACTATAAGTCAAAAAAAGTGTTTGGGTAAAAAACAACGTATAGCTATTGGTAACCTTTAATAAGTCAAAAAGTGATAAGTAGCATACTCCTTACTTATTAAAAACTCCTTATTTCACCAAAATAAGTTATAAGTCAAAAAGTCATAAGTCTTTTTAAATAAGTTTTGTCAAACACCCTCTAAAAAAAAGTTATATATGAAGATATAAATATTAACTATTTTTTTAAAAAAAATATTAAATATCAAGGTGTAAACATTAACTATTTTTAAAGTAAAATAAATACAAACAAAATGATGAATAAATAAATAATTCAATTTATACTAATAAAACAAACTACGGATAAATAATTATATGTTGGCCATATTTGTGTTTTAACTACTTTTTTTTTAGTTTTATCAATGAAATACAATAAAGTTTGATTATTTTTCCTATTTAACTATTTTGGTCTAAAATGACAATGAACATTGAAAGAAAATATCGAATTTGAATTATGTACATTAAAGAAAACATATTAAAATTTGAAAATATAAGGAAACACATTACTACATATTAATTAGTTTCTATAACCTAAAAATTAAAATAGTTAATTAAGAAAATTGAAAATTACCACAAAATGATAAGTGGAAATTAATTTCTAAAAATTAACCACAAAATTAGATGTGACAAAATACGTGAAAATGTGACAAGTGGCAAAAATTATTTTTATTTATTAAAGTAGATATTGACTTTCTACCTTTTAGTCGTAAATTAATTTTTTTTTTGCACTAAAGTGGGTACAACTGAGACATTATGGGTGTGTTCGACACGAAGCGTTTTTGAGCGTTTGAGAGCTTCTAGCGTTTGACAAAACGCTCCGTTTTGAACATAAAGTATCGTTTGACACTACAAGCTTTTAGCGTTTAGTTCAAACAAAGCGCTCCAAATCCAAGCTATTTCAGGTAGCGGTTAACAAAACACTACAAGCTACAAGTTATCCGCTGTCCGCTACAAGCTAATCCGCTATCAGTTATTTTTGGCAAACACGCCCTATAAAAAATAAAAAAATGGTTCATATTATATACACATCACTCTATATACTATCAACACCATTTTAGCCTTACTTTTAAGGACATAATTATCATATGATTATCAGTTGACTAAATTTTACATTTTACTTCGTTATAACTTAATTATTATTGGTTTTATTATTTAATAATTATAGTTTTATTACTATCTTTATTAATATTAATAATTTTTAAACTAATTTTTTATTAAGATAAAAAACAATAATAATATTGTTTTCATAATATAATAAAATGATAATATTAAAAAAATAAAATTCCAAATAAATTTTCATCAATTTCTTTATTTTGTTTTTACTCGTAAACCTAAAAACGCATTTTATTTTATTTTTTCATTTTCATAAATTTAATACATTTTATGTTTTGTTAGAGGTAGGTATTTTTTAAAGATAAAGGCATAATTTTTTTCCGTTTTCATAAACCAAATATATTTTGTTTTTTTCCTTATTAAATCTCAAATTTATGTTTTTATTGAAAAAAACCTTGTTTGTGTTTAAAGTTTGGTATACGATTGTTATTGATTCCAAGGTTATGTTTTAAATCAAAACTTTTATAAAATGTTGCCTATGATGTACATTTGTCTTTATATATCATATTGATACCAAAAAAATGGATTTTACGGATAAATAGGAAAAAAATAACAAAAGCAGGTGAAAATATATTTTTATTTCAAACTTGCTCCTGATAAATTAGCCTAAGAAAATGATAATTATCTGAAAATTTAATCCAAGTCTCTGAGCATATCATAAAATCAATAAAAAAAATTTACTATAACTTTAAATTTATCAAAATAATAAGATCTAAATATTAATTTAAATAATTGAAATTTTATATTTTAAGGTTTTAATCATTTTTTAATAATCTCATTAATCATTTTATAGTTATCAATATTTAATAATAAAAACGTCAATATCACATATTCTAAAATGCATTTGTGAACTTCTGATTTCATACATTAAAAAACTAATATGTATCATTTTATAATAAAAACTTAAATTCGATTGGATATTTATTTGATTTGATTTGATTGGGTTGCATAATATTTCTTCGGATGTGAATAAGGATATATGAGATGTTTTTAAAATCTTCATTATCAAAACTTTAAAATTTTATGAAAAACGAAAATGTCAAAAAACTGTAAAGACTTTGATAACATAAAAAAAAATTGACAGCCCATAAGAAAAAGTCAAAAAAAAATAAAGAATAAGTTATATTTAAAAAATAATTTGAATGTAAAAAAAATCCCAAAAAAAAGATTTCTTGAAAATTTAAATTTGATTGCATCCTGAGTTAAAATCATGGCTAAAACCAAAGGATGCAACTGAAATCGATTAAAGTTAATTTAAAATTTAAAAAATGGATTACTAGAGTTAAATAAAAATTGAATAATTAAAAAAAATATGTTAAGATGCTATGTGTCAGTTTAGAAATAAAGGTGAAAATTAAATATTAACTCTAAAAAAATGACATGTGACACATAAACATTTTTATTTATTAGGTAGTATAGATAAGATAGTCATTTATAATGAAAACAAAAAATTGACACATAACACCTATACCTCGATACATTATGGCATATAATGGTTACTGGTACGGAGATACCTATTTGAAATGATATATAAGAGGGGAAGACTCGTTAGATAGGTGTATTTTGTTTAAACTCTAATAAAACACACACACACACATACACACACACACACACATATATATATATATATATATATATATATATATATATATATATATATATATATATATATTCTATTATATTAAACATATTGAGCATTTCTTGAAATTTAAGAGGTACAATTTTCACTCCTAGATATGCAATCAAATTATGCACATAAACTATTAATCCGTTGTTAAACAATTGAATCCGTAATTATGGCTTAGGAGATTTCCAACTATATTTCCTTTTTCCCGTGTTTCCCCATGTTACATCTTTATTCTTAAATCAAATATAAACTTTTAAACCTAACCTAAACTACTAATTCTAATCAACCTTAATTAATAATTTGTTAACTATAATATCGTTATATGTTACATCCATTTCCATGAATAAAGAAAATTATGGGTTGAATTTTTGACAGTTAAGAAAATTATATGTTTTTAAATTTTAGCAATAAACGTGAATAAAGGAAGTTATGAGTTGGATTTCTTTTTTGAAATACCAAATTCATCTTTAATCTCCCTAGGCTTTTCTTATATAAATCATTTGTTTGTTTAAAATATTATATTCTCCTTCATTTTTGTTTTTTTAGTCATCTTCATTAAGAAATAAGATTACTAATATATTTTATTTTATTTTTAAATTTTGTGGTTTATACATTTTTATGAGAGCATAACTCACATGGACAAGCTTATGCATTAGAATGACAAATTTGCATATTTTAGAAGAAAAATCTTGGCCCTGCTATCACAATTATGAA